TTTTTTTTTTCATTTACAAAACAACTATGCAAGTTGCATGAACAAAATACAATAGTACTGTACAAATATGATAGAATATATAGCGATTCAATTTACAGCACCTTCATAAGTTGAATAAAAACAAAAACACACTAATGCACATTCTTTATTCATAATTTTGTAGAAGTACAGTTAAAAGTCATTATGAAATCAAAAATGACCAATCTTATTTTTAATGGAATATTGCAGGATTTATTATAAATTATTTATCTATGCATATAATTATGTATTCATTTATTTTAATTAATGTGCCCTCGTAATCTTTAATCAAAAAACTTCCCCTTCCTCTCGCAACAACATCTCTTCTCTGGTGACATTTTTGACATTTTTACTGGTACAATAACCTGTCATTCACATGATATCGCAGCAATAGCAAATGACATTGATCAAACAATCCAATCATATCCCGATGGACAAAATCAAGTCCCACCCTACAATTTTCCTTGTTCTAGAATCCATTTCATACACTACAATAGGGAAGAAAAGACTATCGCAACTTCCGTTTCATACCAACGTTTTGTAAAAAAAGGTGCATCGCCAACTAGCTCCGACCAAATAACTTGAACGCACATGATGTTGCAATTACAACTTCCAACTCGTAAATACGAACTTCCCATGAGAAATTCAATGCAACATAACTCAGCTTGTTATTAAAACAAAAAGAACAATTTTGAAATCTGCACCCCTGAAGCCAGACTTGTCTAATTTAAAGGCAGGTGTATGGCGTATTTCAGATTTATTTTACAGTGTTGCTGTTGCTTTTTTTATAGTAATGAACAATAAACCTTTTTTCTATTTTAGTGAGTTACTTTCGACTGTTTTTGTCCTTTGAATGAAAGTCAATCAATCAATAAATAAATACAGGTTTGGGACAACATGAGGGTGAGTAAATTATGACAGAATGTTCATTTTTGACGCATTTCTAAATTCGTATCAAGTGTGAACTCAAAATGAATACCCAGCCCTAAACACAGGTTCCCCTAAGAATTGTTATTGAAGACGTTTACCTTTATTGCGAGTTCAGGAGGATGAAGATTGACAACTCTCATCGTGGAAAGGGAAGTCTCACTTTCCTCAACTTGCCCATACACCACGAAGAGCAGGTTGGACTGTTCCACAAGGTAGGGCATGTACTCCAAAGCTTTGACATCTATTGTCAGGGACTCAGCTGTAAAGATATTATGATCACACTATGACCTAAACCGTTAACAATTTTTGTAGAATTCCTTAGAGCTGTTATAACTCGATCTCAAGATAATGAACAGTTTTACAGAAACACTTGTGTCGGACTCACTCGTCGAGGCTTCCACGGTTGCAGATTTGTTTTCGAGCTTAAAAGTTGTGCTAGTGACGCCTGTGTAATACACCACACAGCCAGTGATGATGGCGCTGATGATGCAGGTTTGGCTGGTCTGGTTCTTAATGTTCAGAGTCAGCTTGAGGTTTTCACCCATTTTGATGGTGTCAGCCTGGAGCTCGATGGTCACACCTGCTTCA